AGGATTGTTGCAGTATGTTACCCTTTCTTCTTCTTTTGGCAGTAGACATGAGTAAATGTTTTCTACCTTTGTTTTGGAAGACAATCGTAAACTTCTTTGTCTGGCTCTCAAGTCTTTCATCAGAAAATTCAAGGTATACCTCTTCTCCTAGCTGTTTGGCTCGCTGAAGATCTTGAGCAACAGTCTCAAGCCATCTGCTGTGAGTAGGTCCTATATTAATGCTGAAGATAGAAGCAAAAGTCTTAGGCAGCGGAGAAGACTCACAGAGATTCAGGCAGCTGACTTTAGTCACCATGACTGGAACATTCAAGGATAGTAAAGGATGAATCTGATGTTCAATCCATTGTTAATCTGATGGAAGATGAATGGATCAACCCCTTTGACACCATCTGATCTCATAAGCACATCGACAGGGTCCGACAAATGTTGCACAAGATCTTCAGCGAGCCAAACAGCAAGGAGAGGAGGCATACCTTCAATTTTCTGACGAAAGACTTGAGAGCCAGACAAAGCAGGAAACTGGACATACGCAAGGCACTAGCTTTGCCCCTCGGACTATTACCATTTGCACTTTATACCTGCGTTGGAACAATGAAAAAAGCCAACAAAGCAGCTTTAGCAAGACATCTTGAAAAGTGCGTTTCATCGCCGGAGGTAATTCCTGAACCCTCAACATGTATCTATGTGGAATGAGTCTAGTACAGAAAACCCATGGTGAGAACAAGATGGTCAGGGAACTGTCACAGTCTTACATGGAACATCAGCCTTACATATTGGAACAGGAACCTACCGTATCGATGCGGCATTTGAAGTGTACCATAACAACTCCATCAAGTCAGCAGAGTGAGTTAGCTGGGGATCAGAGAATACTGTAGCATTGCTTCAGGACACAAGATACGACAGTGGAGGCGGCGTCTTACTTCATCAGAAAGCAAAACCAATATCATCCAGTTCATTGTTCAAGACTGGCAGCTTCCTCATTCCAGGGCCAAACTTGAAGACTGAATACCGTATGTGACATGTGGAAGCAAGTGCTACAGAATGACCTCTGAATCTTCATCTGAAGTTGAATCTTTGTCAAATACGCAAGAAAAAGCTGACACGGTGTTCCATGCTAAACATGTATCTTTTGAATCCTCATCAGTTGTCATTTCCTCAGATTACTCCGATGTATTTGTCTTGTCCTTGCACTAACATTGCAACCAATATTTATATCAAAACTGGTACAAAAAATAGCCAAATATTCATTGATATCAAGAAAGTTGCTGCAGCTTTTGGTCAAAGTGTTTGTAAGATCCTTCCTGAACTACACTCATATATACTGTATGTTATATTGTCAGTTCTTTTGGAGGCAGAGGGAAGGTCAATGCATTCAAACTTCTTCAACAGTAAGGGATATCAAGAAACTTTCCAACAACTTGGGAATGTGTGGACTGTGCCACCAGGTTTGATCAACTCAGTTCAAGCATTCACATGCCACCTGTATGCCTCAAGTTCTTAAATATGGGATGACAATCAATTGCGCTTCCACTTATTTAAGGTGAAAAAAGGGGCAATTGAATCATGACAATTGCCACCCTGCTTTGATTGTCTATCTATGCACATCCTGAGAGCAAACTATCAAGCTGCAATATGGAACAACTGTCTGGGAGCTGAATATCCAACTTCATGGGCAACAGATCGTCATGGATGGGTGGAACAAAATGGTCACATGGAGATTTGCTGGATGTCAAGACCCCTTGCTCCAGATGTTGTTCTTTAGTTCATTTCTTACAAGTACACAACAGTCTGTAAACTGCCAAGTTGTCAATGCCTTACCAATGCACTGAAATGCACTGTGACATGTCAGAACCAGACTTGTGACAACACGGTATGCAAGGACCATGGCATGCCGAAGCGTGACGCTGACGATGAAGCTGACGTTTATGATGCGGAACCGTGACTATCACAAACCAATTTAAGGAACTTGAAGGTGCTCTCACTATTTGAAGTTGAAGAGCTGTCTTCATAATAAATGAAATGATGAGTTTTCGAAAAAGTTCTTTGAGCTTACAATTTCGACTCTTAAAAATCAGGAAAAAATATGCTTTAAAGGTATCAAATAACACAACTTGATATTAATTAAGTCCTTTTAATCATGTTAGCATTATTTGTACCTCCCTATTTTCATGTCCAACCTATTTGCTAAACTTTATTCACAATTAAAGCTTGGAGTTGACGTTTTTAGAAAATGTTGGGGATTTTTGGTGGCCATCTTGGATTTAGCCTCGTTCTGAGTTTGAGCTACCAAACCGACATGGCCATCATACTTTTTTCATATGTAGAGACCATAACAACTTCAAAAAACATAAAAGTGTTTGGTCCCTCTTAGTGGTACCGAAAAATTGTCTGGCTCATGGCCTAACACCCCAGTAATTACTCGCTGACAGGATTATACTGGCGCTTCGAGGGCGAGTCTGATATAACATACATGTATGACAGGAACCTTCCCTTCGGTGCATCTAAGAGTTGTCGAATCTTCCAAACTTTGAGTGCATCTGTGTGTCGGATGATGAAAAAAACAATATAATGTGGATGTTATTGCGTATATTGACGATTTCCTCATTATCTGTGACTAACTTGAGGAATGTTCTCAAGCTCTATCTCGTTTATTAGGTTTGTTAAGGTGCGTTCTCACAGTGCAACTTGTAGTAACAACTTGTAGCATACGACTTGTAGTAACAACAAATTAAAGATCGTAACGACTTTGCTATTTGTGTAATTTTTAAGTCGTATACAACTCGTATCTCGCGAGATTCTCACATATGACTCAGCAACATAGATTCGTCGAGTGAAGAAGAAACGCTTGCCATGATAATGTCGGTCTACATATCGCAGTCGCAAAAAAAGAAGAGAAACAGTATTACCGTTGGAGAGAAACTGGCACTAACTTTACGATATTTCGTAAGCTCGGATTTATGATAAACTGGAACAAGGTGGATGGGCCGTGTCAACGCATTGTGTTCCTTGGAGTTGTTATTGACACACAATGTTGTACATCATCCCTCCCACCGGATAAGTTGCATTCATTCTACCAAGAAATCGACTTCTTCTCTAAGAAAACCAGGGCCAGTAGACGGCAGCTAGATAGATTGGTCAGTTAAGTTGGGCAAGTATGGTCATTCAGGGTGGGCGCACATTCTTGCGCCGTGTATTAGATCTGAAGAATGCTATTAAGTCTCCACATGGAAAATTCAAACTGGATGATAACTTTCATGCTGATGTTGATTGGTTGTTGTGTTATTTGAAGCAATACAACGGCACAACTAAAGTCTTAGACAAACGCCCTGTACAGAGCGTGTTCACGGATGCATGCAATGAAGGTGCTGGAGGTCATTATAATTGGGACTTCTTCTACGTCAATTGGAAAGCGGACATGAGAGAAATAAGTGACCTTCACATCAACGTTAAGTGTCCGTAATCTTATCTGCGTCGCAGGGTTTCTGTGTTCACGACACTTAATTGTGTATACCATGCTTCATTATGTATTAAAGTTCCAAAATTTCTCTTTATATCATCGCATTTGTCGTTTATAGTTCGAGTTTAGGTGAGTATGCTAAAATGCCGATAGTTACGTTGTCGTTCTGCGTGATTTTGCGTTAGTCATGCCGTCACGCTGCACTGAGACAATTTCGTATGAATATATCAAATTACTGTATTGTATCTATTTACAATTTCCTATTTCTAGCTACGATACTTCTTCCATGCATATTCTAAAAGTATTGAGTCTATCCATGCTACGAATAGACAAATGGATGTCTGTAAAATTGCAAAAATCCCACACAGTGTAAAATCTTTGTTTACATTTCTTACGAGCACAGCGTTCGTTTTCACACCCAAAAGGTTTGTGTTAGACACTTGGTATTGGTATTTTTTAAAGAACTGTTATTTGTTCACAATGGCAATGTGTTATGTCGAATACATTCTAGATAGATATTGTATATATCAAGCGTTCATTTGTAGCTATATTAAAGACTGTTCTACTTACCGAAAGAAAGCACAGCTTCACACTACCTACGTGTGGAATCGGGAAGTGCATCCTCAAGCGGTAACCCCCGTCTTCAACAGGTCATCTAGCCCTCGTATGACTCAAACACGCAAAATACTTCGAAGAACGTTTCCATAATTCCATTTTATTCATCATCAGCCACCTAGATTTCAGTCCAGTTTCAACTTTACAGTAGATCCATTAATGTTTATTCGTTGTAATTTCCATTTCGAGTGAATGAAACCGCCATTTTGGAACGTGTAGTCTAGACCAAGGGACGCAACTCCGGATGGAATATTTGGGACGGATGACGTCGCTTCAAATTCAACTCTCAGCGTTAATATAGTGCGTTTGAAAAAAAGTACATTTTGTGTCAGTATAGATTGGTTTATGTATGATTCATGCAACTGTTAATGTAAGGATTGAAGCGAAACACTTTAGTGAAAAATTTCATTCATCAGCTGATGTACGTCAACAAACAAAACATTAATGAATGAATAAACGAACGAACGGACGAATGCACGGATGAATGAATGAATGTCAGGGCAGCATTAGCAGCCAGTTTTGCATCCAATTTTCTGCAAAGTTGACAGAGGCCATTTCCCTTGCATGGAAGCCCCGAGGCTGGAGAAAGTTGTGTAAAACGTCTTGTGTAGCGCAATGACGTCATAGAACAGGCCTCCAGGCGCCCATTACGTTTCTAAGGCCGCAGTGTCAACACATCATGGAACCGGCTTCGGAACCTGAGGAGGTTCCGCCCACTGAGAAATCGCCGGCGCCCACAAAGCTGAGCCGCAAGGAACGGGTATGTTTATATGCGTTCGTGTTCAGGGTTTTTTTCGGATAGATTTGACAAAAGATTTAAACCTAAAGTGCACGAAGCGCCGCAAGGACCTCCTGAGTTTTGTTTTCATCCGATAATATTTAAAAAATATGTATTTTACAATTTGCCACATGTGTAATCCTGAAATACGTCTTGTGTTGAAAGTTTTATCTTTTCAGCAGAAAAGTGTAAAGAGTATCAGTGTTCATTGTCGTATTTAAAGAGGGACTAGGCTCAGTTTTCTAGTCAATGTCAGTCCCAGCCAAGTGATTAATGAGTGACTGGTGTGAAATATTGAGACATTGTTTCTATGTAATCATTTACTGTTAGTTTGATTGACAAAATATGACGTTTAAAAGATTTGCGTGGACTGCTAATTCGGCGAGCCTGGTCCCTCTGGTTATGGTGTTGCGATAAACTATCGACTGTTTTGTTTTGAGGAATGCAAATAGTTCATTGCTCGTTTTGTTATTTGTTGGTTATTAAACTGTTTGGATTTAATGGAAAGAATTTGTTGTGAAGAACTGTGTTGCGTTTACCATTCTGATAGGAACTAATCCTATGTGTTTTGCATGCTTGCTGTTGGTCACTTTAACATGTTGCAATTTCGTGGACGGCTACTCTGGAACAGAGTCAAAATAGCTGTCAAATACCTGGCATATTGCCGACTACGGAGTTAAACAGAGGAAAAAAATGGTCGGTCAAACATATTCGCGTTATGATAGCTGTGCATGAATTGACTTTACTGTCAGTTTGAATTATCAGACGATTATAGTTTGATTATCGACGACTCTCTTATGAATTGCCAGTGTCAGTTTTTGTTAAGGTACTGTTGTCCTATAACAGCCTACACATTCGAATCCGAATCAGAGAAAGTACTGGTCTTCAGCAACCCATGCTTGTCGTAACCGTTGACTAATGGGATCGGGTGGTCAGGCGCGCTGATTTCGTTGACCCAGGTCACCCCATACCATGCAATGGGGGCGGTGTAGCCTAGATGTTAAAGCGTCCGCTCGTCACTCCAAAGACCCGGGTTCGATTCCCCGCATTGGCATAATGTGTGAAGCCCATTTCTGGTATCCCTCACCGGGATATTGCTGGAATATTGCTAAAAGCGGCGTAAAACCATACTCACTCACTATACCAATGGCGTAGTTCATGACGTCAATCAATGTATTGTGAAGACCGGACTCGATTATGTGCGTACGGCTCTCATATACCTGGTGCAGTGTTACAAAAACGATACCATCACAGTAGTTAAGATGTTTGTGCCCTCACTGTGAATTAGCGGGACTGATGCTGTTGCTTCATATCGACTCACTCACTCACTCACCGTGATCGCAATGATCGCCCATGGGGTGTTTGCAACGGATATGCCTCATTGTGAATGAAGAAACAATGTGTTGCCAACTGAATGATCATCCTTGTAAACTAAGGCATCGGTCGTCTATTTTAGGATGCAGGTGGCTCAGAGGATATCACGGGGATTGTCATTCGCAAATATGAACGTTACTAACAGAGGTTAATAAAAAAAGCCTCAAACAAGCCATTGGGGTCATATAAATATGTACCCAAAAAATGACAAATATTATTTTCGATACATCTGTACATCAAAAACCTCTTGTCCATCTTCCCTGCTGTAAATGAGCGACCCTCAACTGACTCATGACAATAACTTCACTGTTTTGGTAAATATATTTATTATTGACCTATTGGTGGTTTCCATGTGATGAGTGTTTAATACTTCTACTTTCAGCTCGGACATGTATGTATACCTACAGCTTTGTACAAAACAGATTAAACAATATTATGCTATGTCAACATAAAAGAATCTCAATCGAATATTTTCTTTTGTAGCCACCCACAAGTATGGGTGTATATTTCCCTATCCCCCAGCATGTTAGGTTTAGCTATTTAAGAGAGGAATTCTCAAACCTCCTTCAAGAAAACTAAAGTGAAAAAATTGATTCCGCATATGTAGTAAGCACTTACGTAATATTTGTTGTGTGTATCTGTGTATATATTTGTGTACACCCAACATTATCGATAATGTTGCTGTTTCATCAACCTGTAGATTGTGCGATGCTTCAAGAACCTGGCCAACTGCCTGTTCCCATGGAGACTGAGGAGAGTCGCCCCCCAAAAGTCGGCATCTGAGTCGGATTACGAAAACGAGGAGGAGAAGGAGAGTAAGTCAGATACCTCACTTGTCATCAACCAATCCACCAATCCCTACACCTGCCTATCTTACCTGTTATACCTACACACACGAATGAACACCGACCCTATATACACCCTCTTCTTGAAGCCAGGTTTCCTCTGATTCTGTTCCATGTCTGTCTGTTTTTTCAGTCGTGGAGTCTGCTGTCGCCCTAGCTATCAAGGCATCCCTCACCTCGGAGCTGGATGACTTATTGTAAACATCCAGGTAATATCAATACACACTCTCTAAATATCCATGTAATAACTATACATAACCTAGACTATAACAATACATACTCTAAATATCTAGGCAATAACAACACACACTATTGACATCAAGGCAATATCCAGTTAACACCCAGTTAATAATGCATTGTTTAAATGTCCAGATAATAAGAATACACACTTTAAACATTCATACAATATATTGTCTGTATTTCTGTTTCAATATTTATGTGTTATTTATTTGAGTATCCTTTGATGTAGATCATGTAGAAAGAAGAAAAATAAAACCCTGGTAAAAGATTGTTTGTGATATTCTTTCCATTCCAGCTGTTAACTTAATGAAGAGAGTTTCTATGTGTTTGTGATTGGAGTCTCACTAACTGTATCATTTGGATGGATAGAGATCTGAGCAGCCTAATTTGGGATGGACATAACCATCTGTATCCAAAAGGACTGCATTTTGTGTTTTGGAAGTGGGAACTTGGTGGAGGATTCAACCCAGCAGTGTGGCTACTTTTCAAGGAATGTTCCTTCTTATCTTGAAGGAATATTATTTGGTCTTGAAATATGGAAATGTGACCAATTTTAAATGCTGGTTTTTGGTTTTGATATTTTAATACCCAGAGTATGTCTCTATGGAATCATGTTGTGTTTGGATATAATGTTTGAATTTTGTGTCTGTGAGCTTTTGATAAACATGTTTTTAAAGTAAGCAAAAAAAATGAAAATAACCATATGCCAAAAACAATGTTATATGTTGTTGAAAACCAAGGAAAAATTTGTTCTGTTACGTTTGTTTTTGTTTTCAAATGTATTTGTTTTTCATACAGAAATTGTGTTTCTACAGGAAAAACACTTTAAGTAAATATTCACCTCAAAATGTTCATGTACTGTTTATTTACAAAATGTTGTATATAATCATTCAAAAATGTAGAAAATGTTGCTTAAAATCACCCAAAAATAAACATTCATGTAATTATTGTGTTATATGCAGATTGCAATTGTCTTTCTGCTTTTTAGTCAATGTTATGACAATTGCTGGGTATTTTTTAACTTAGCCATTCTGTGAACAGTGTTCTGAGAGCTGTTGAGTGTGAATATTGCCGGTGTGCAAATGTGTTAATGTCTTGGAAGATGTTTTGCATGTGTTTATTGTTGGTGTGCAAATGTGAGACAGTTAATGTGTTGGGAGATTTTTTGCATGTGTTTATTGTTGGTGTGCAAAGGTGTGACAGTTAATATGATGGGAGATGTTTTGCATGTGTTTATTGCAGGTGTGCAAATGTGAGATAGTTAATGTGTTGGGAGATGTTTTGCATGTGTTTATTGCAGGTGTGCAAATGTGAGATAGTTAATGTGTTGGGAGATGTTTTGCATGTGTTTATTGCAGGTGTGCAAAGGTGTGACAGTTAATATGTTGGGAGATGTTTTGCATGTGTTTATTGCAGGTGTGCAAATGTGAGATAGTTAATGTGTTGGGAGATGTTTTGCATGTGTTTATTGCAGGTGTGCAAAGGTGTGACAGTTAATATGCTGGGAGATGTTTTGCATGTGTTTATTGCAGGTGTGCAAAGGTGTGACAGTTAATATGCTGGGAGATGTTTTGCATGTGTTTATTGCAGGTGTGCAAAGGTGTGACAGTTAATATGTTGGGAGATGTTTTGCATGTGTTGACTGTTGGTGTGCAAATCTGTGGTAGGCAGTCTTGTGAAATGACAATGTGTTATGGTCAATGTTTTGAATGTTATTGTCTGAGGTTTCCTGAATAAACTGTTGTATATAATCAAGTAAACATACATATTTAAAAGTGCAAAAGAACTATATAATTTGTTTAAAATCAAGGAAATATTTCTAACATTTTTATGTTTCAAGAGAAAAGATCAAATCCTAAACATTTGAATATTTTGTGTTTCTTTATTACATTTACAGGTATGTATGTGTTAAAAAATCTATGTAGTTTGAGATAACACACTTCCTCAATTACTTCCATTTGAAGCCATGCCCGGTGTTTGAATTTGCAGTATCCCTTCAATGGAGCGAAGTCATTCACAGTGATATGCAGTAAGATTTTTTCCCCCGTTTCTTCATTATAATTGCATGCAGATGTATGCTATTATCTATGTAGTTTGGGATAACATACCTCCTGATTTACTTGCATGTGAAGCCATGCTTGGTATTTGAATTTACAGCATCCCAGCAATAGGTCAAAGTCATTGTGATATGTAGTAAGGTTTTCTGAATTTGATTATGTGCATGCTCAGTTGAAAATAATAGATCTAAAGGCCAAAAATAACAGTATAATTCGTTTAAAATCAAGAAAATATTTCTGACTATCATATTTTTATAATGATATTGTTTTTTAGTATTTTGTGCTTCTACTATTTTGTGTTTCATTGTTTTTAAGTTGTGTAGTATGCTTACTGTATCTCTAGTATTTTTCTGGAACACCTGCAGCATTGTTGTAACTGAATTGTTTTCAGTGTTGTGCATATTGTCAGAATGTCAGGAGTTGTACTGAGAAAATGTACAGCAGTATATAACACTGTTCTTCAATGGTACTCTACTCTTTTGCATACATTCAAGGGACATGCAATTCCTGAACGGGAGTTATATGATGCTCACTGAGTTACACAGTTGAACCATGTGTATGTCAGAGATCTGTCCATTTGAATCTGGAGATATTTGTGAACGGTAGGATTTGTGTACGTTTTGAATATGTATTCGGTGTTATGAAAGTGAGTGATACAAACTTTATAAACATTTTATTATTTTTTGTTTCCTAAACATTTTGTGTTTCTTCATTATAATTGCAAGTATATGTATGTTTAACATCTATGTAGTTAGGGATAAGATACATCCTCATTTACTTAAATTTGGAGCTATGCTTGGTGTTTGAATTGAATGGGGCAAAGTCATTGTGATAGGCAGTAAGGATTTCTGAAGAAGATTATGTGTGTACTCTGGTGGATGTAAAACCAAAAATAACACTATAATTTGTTTAAAATCAAGGAAATATTTCACGTTTTTATCTTCCATAATAGTTAAAATTGTATTTGTGTTTCAATGTTTTAGATTGGTGTGGATATACTTTGTATATTGTTATTATTTT